CCTGCTTTGACAACCTTGGAGATGTTTCCATATGTGACTTCTTCTTCCCCTTGTCTTCTGGTTTATCATCCCCCCTCAAGATGGAGGGGATCTTAGTCACACCCATCTTGGAAAGAATCGCATGGTGTAATGGGCCTGAAAGTGATTTCGTGAAGATGTCGGCGAGTTGGTCTTTTGAAGGAACGAATGAGAGAGAAATGAGACCTGCCAAGTATTGTTGTCGGACAAAATGACAGTCGAGATCGACATGTTTAGTGCGTTCGTGAAACACTGGATTTCTTGCGATATGTATGGCAGCCTGACTATCTGAATGCACCGGCACTGGAAGAGAAAGATGAACAGAGAGATCTAATAGTAATCGTGTGAGCCAAGTTAGCTCAGCCACCAATCTCCTCATGGATCTATACTCGGCTTCCGCAGATGAGAGGGAAACTGATACTTGTTTCTTGGATTTCCATGAAATAGGCGATCCTCCAAGACTAACAAAGAATCCACTAATGGATCGTCGTGAATCACGACATGAAGCCCAATCTGCATCGCAGAAGGCGTTCAGTGAAAATGAAGGTGTAGAAGAGAAGAACAGTCCTCGATCTGGAAATTCCAAAAGGTAACAGACTACTCTCAAAGCAGCCTCAAAGTGAACAAGACATGGTTGTTGCATATATTGACTGAGAACCAAAACAGCATGGCAAAGATCTGGTCTTGTATGTGTTAGATAATTTAATTTCCCAATGATATGTCTGTACAGAGTAGCATCTGACATGAAACTTCCTGAATTTGCAGTTAACTTCACAGATGGATCCAGTGGAGAAGATACTGAAGGCAGATGAGAGACATCAAACTCTTGCAACAAGTCCAAGGTATACTTTCTTTGATTAAGAATGATGCCCTGTGGCTCTCTAATTATCTCCATGCCTAGAAAATAGTGTAGAAAACCAAGGTCTTTGATCTTAAATTCAGAATGAAGGAACAACTTCAATTCGTTAATCCCTGTAAGATCATCACCGGTGATCAGAATATCATCTACATAAACAGCAATAATGGTGATAAGGTCCCCTCTTTGTTTAAAAAACAAAGAATAATCATTTAAGGAAGCAATGAACCCTTTGAAACTCAGAGCACCCGCAAGCCTTGCATACCATTGCCTGGAGGCCTGTTTTAACCCATAAAGTGATTTTTTGAGTCTGCAAACTAGATTAGGAGAATGAGGGTCGATACCCGGAGGGAACTTCATATAAACTTCTTCTTGTAAATCACCATGTAAGAAGGCATTGTTCACATCAAACTGAGAAATACCCCATTGTTTCTTAGCTGCTACAGCCAGTAGGCACCTAATTGTGGTCATCTTGACCACTGGGGAAAATGTTTCATTGAAATCGATCCCGGCCTTTTGAATATCACCCCGCACTACTAATCTAGCCTTCAGTCTTTCCAATGAACCATCAGCATGTCGCTTAACCTTAAACACCCACTTACAAGGTAAAGCCTTTCGACCTATAGGCAAAGAAACCACATCCCAAGTGTGATTAGTGTGTAGTGCTGCTATTTCATCTTTCATGGCCTGTGTCCAACCTGGATGTCTACAAGCCTGAAGATAGTTGGTAGGCTCAATAATATCTGACACTGAATGAATAATAGATTGATTTGAAATAGAGAGACTATGAACAGGCTTAATAAAAGGGTCCATTGGAGAGGTGAAACAAGAATCAGTGACATTAGTGAGAATGATGGCATTACACACATAGTCCTGAAGATGAGAAGGAAGGGTTCCCAAAGTAGATCTAGTAGACCTTCTAAGAGGAGCAATAGGAGGTGAAGGAGTGGAAGTAGAAGAAGGTGAAGGACTAGATGAATCTAAAATAGGTGATGGTGCTGGAACAGGTGAAATTGGAGGAGAGGAAGAAGGACTATGGGGTTCAGAAGGAAGTATGTTAGCAGGCTGTGAAACAGAGTGATCTGGGTGAGAAGTGGAATGAGCTGGAAAGATAGGAGAAACTGGTTGATCAGAAGAAAAAGGAAAGATATGCTCAAAAAATTGTACATCTCTAGACACACAAATTTTTCTAGTATGTAAATCCAATAACTTATAACCCTTTTGGTTATTAGGATAACCCAAAAACACACACCCTTTAGCCCTTGGATCAAACTTCCCTCTTCCATGTGCTAGAGTATTAGCATAACAGAGGCACCCAAAACACTTCAAGAACTTGTAGACAGGTGGTTTGTTAAAGATGAGCTCATAAGGTGTCTTGCCTCCAAGAACTTTAGAAGGCAATCGATTGATCAAGTAAGTGGCTGTTAAAATACATTCACCCCAAAAAGACATAGGTACTTTGGATTGAAAAAGAAGGGCTCTGGCTATCTCAAGTAAATGCCTATGTTTTCTTTCTACGACTCCATTTTGTTGTGGGGTAGCTACGCAAGAGGTTTGATGAATTATTCCTTGAGAGGCAACAAATTGTGAACCTGATTCACTACTTCCCAATTCCATAACATTGTCTGATCTGACCATTTTTATCTTGGCATCAAATTGTCTAGCAACCATGAGTATGAATGACTGTAAAACAGTAAGGGCATTGCTTTTAGTAGCCAGCAAAAAGGTCCAAGTACCTCTAGTAAAATCATCAACAATAGTGAGAAAATACTTGTAATGATTATAAGTAGGAACCTTGTATGGTCCCCAAGTATCAACATGAATCAGCTCAAACTTAGAATTGGTGGAAATTTGACTGATAGGAAAGGGAAGTCTAGATTGTCTAGCTTGGGGACAAATATCACAAAAACAATCAACAGTAGAAGGAACAGAAATGAAACTGATATTTTTCATTGATGATAGTGGCAAATGCCCAAGTCTCATGTGCCATAATCTTACATCTGAAAGTGCATTAGAACAAACAGGAAAAGAAATAGATTCTGGTAATGAAATGGAAGACAAATTGGAAAACTGTGGATGTATCTCAAAGACATTATCCTTAAATCTAGACTCCATAGGACTAGGTTCTAGCAAGTAGAGACCTTCCTTAGCTTCACCAAAAACTTGAGGGTTCCTCATTGAAGGGACCTGCATCAAACAGCGATGAGAGGTGAAAAACACTGAAAAATTGAATTGAGTACACACTTTGTGTACTGATAGGAGATTATACTTGAAACTAGGGACATACAAAACATTATGCAATGTTAGATCAGAGAATATTGACACAGTCCCTATATGTGTGACCTGAATTGATTGAGAATTAGGGAGACTAATACTCATGGGAACTGTAAGAGGAGACAAAGACCTGAAAGAATTAGGATTGAAGCACATATGTTCGGAAGCACCTGAATCTATTATCCAAGTGTTAGAATTGAAAACAGAAAAACATGATCCAAAATATTTCAACATTGTACCAGCTACTGCATTAGCATTGATGTCAGGATTGGTTGTGTTTCTTAGTGTATCTGCCACTTTCATCTGCTTGAATGCATGCATAAGAAAGTTAACCTGTCCTTTGTTGAAATGTTGATTAATATTTCCAGTGGCAGCATAATTGTCATCCTCTGCTTCATCCAAGATCACTGCTCCATTTCCCCTTATTTGACCTTGCTGTCCTTTGTCATGTGTGAATTGAAAATCCTCAGGAAACCCAATCAACCGATAGCAGTTATCATCCACATGACCAGTCTTCCCACAATGTGTACAAATAGCATTAGGATCATACTTTGGTTTCTTCCCTTTAAATTTCTGAAATTGCCTTGGTCCCTTTTGTGATTGCTGAAAGTTGTTAGATCTGGGAAAACTACCTTGTGATTGTTGAAAATTGTTTGATCTGGGAACAAGCCCTCCAATTTGTTGTGATGAGTTTTGAAACCTCTGGGGTTGTTTACTTTTGTATTGGTTGATATTCCCCGCCATGAAGGAAGATGAAGAGGAATCAGAGGGTATGAATGGGCTCATATAACTTTCCCTCTGATTCTCATCTTGCAAAATGAGAGAATAAGCAAGATTAATGTCGGGCAGGGGGCTCATCATCAAAATGTTTCCTCTAGCCTGACTATAAGTGTCATTTAATCCCATGAGAAACTCAATCAGTCTCTCATCATCCATAGACTTCTGCAGTTTTTGTTTTCCTTCACAATTGCACACACAAGTGCACCTAACGTTGGAGTTGAAAGAGTCCAACTCATCCCATAATTTCTTAAGTTTAGTGAAGTATCCTGCAATGTTAGAATTCCCTTGAACTAACCTGCTGAGTTCCTTTTGCAGGTGATAAAGCTTGGCACCATTAGATTGACCAAATCTATGCTCTAAGCTAGTCCACAGATCCTTAGCAGTCCTTGAATAAATAACACTGTCCGCGATCTCCTTTGAAAGTGAATTGAGCAACCAAGAAGTCACCATGTCATTGCATCTACTCCAAGGTTGCAGATCTGAAGAATCAGATGCAGGAACAGAATGAAGACCAGTTATGAATCCCAACTTGTTCTTAGCTGAAAGAGCAATAAGGACAGACCTCTTCCAACCCTGATATCCTCTACCATCAAAAGGAGTGTTGACAATTGCCATTCCAGGTGCATCAGATGAATGCAAGTAGTATGGATGATTTGAATCCATAGCTGGAGTGCTGCTAGAGCCGGTTGTATTTCCAGCAGAGCTCTCAACGCTTGATGTTGTATCAACCATGGATGATTAGATGAAGATTGAAAACAAGGAAAATTGTTGATTGAATTTTGATCAATGCTTTGATACCATGTTAGAAATGAGACTGATTTGGGAAATTTTCTTCTTGTATTCCTTCTACAATCCACACCCAGATATATACAAGTCTGTGAATAAAGAAAATATAAAACCTATACAATAGTTGTTCATTTCCTATTGGCTATGCATGTAACAAACTAACAGAAAGAATATTCTAAATCTATGCTAGAAGCTTCTTTTATTTACAGCTGTACATTTTAATCCGGATGGGTGATTTTGTGTTGGGCTAATTGTGTGGCCCAATCATTCAATCTGAGTGGCCCAATCATTCAAGTTGATCCAATTTGCACTTCGGCCCTTTATCTCTTTGTCGGAAGACCTGCTTTGACAACCTTGGAGATGTTTCCATATGTGACTTCTTCTTCCCCTTGTCTTCTGGTTTATCAAAATATTACATGTATACATAAATCCTATCAAAATAAATAATTAAACAAAACTAGTCATAACAAATGGTTATATTAGTTTCTGCTGTTTAAACGTAAAAAACATTTTTGTAATAATTATTTTTACATTCACGAAAATAATTTGGCCCAATTTTTATTTTTTATAAAAAAACTAAAATTAAAAACGTGATAATGCCTAGCTCTACTTACCACACTTCTTTTGCATGTTTTAGCAAATTTTCAAACCAATTTCAATTGGCTTTTGGTTCAACACGGGACTATTTTTATCATTACATATTTGTTTTTTGGGTGTGTATAGTGTGAACTCATAGCATAGATGAGAAAAGAAGTTATGATTTTCTTTATGCGTGTATATATAATGTGAACTCACAATATGGAAAAGAGGCAAATCTAAAATTATCTTTTATATGTGTATAGTGTGAAGTCACAGTATGGTGAGTGTGGAGTCAACACAGGCTTTTATAGAATTTTTGAAAAAATTATTTGATATTAACGCTTCTTTTTGACATATATATATTCATGAAGGCGGGTAAAACAATTAAATTTAAGACATAAAATAAATAGCCTAGATGGAAAAGTTGTCTGATATTTTGAAATATTTTATATGTTTATTAGGTAATTAATTAACTATATTGATCTCTCATTTGAATATTAAGTAAATAATATTATGTAATTATGCAAAATATTTTTGGGTCTTCACTTTTCCTTGTGGAAGAACATTTTCCAATAGGATCAAAAGATATTTTACAAGATTAATTACCTACTTATATAATGTAGGTAATAATCTATCGCATTATTTGCGATATGCATAAGTTAGAAGAATTACAAGAATACACGCACTTGAACAATATTGGTTGATGATACTTGCACGCTTTAGGGCCTAATTTATTTTGAATTATTAAATCAAAATATTGTTATACAGAACATATTCATGTGAGGCATACGATTCGTTATATTAAGCAATTAATATATTAATTATTAATAATTGGAAGATGAAATAAAACGTAATGAAGCAACCATATTTCTCAACCTATATATAGAGTATCAATGTTAACCTTTTTTTTTTTGCACCACCTTTTATCATTTAATAATGTTCTTTGTATTTGCATAAATGCCATCCAATTCAACATGGACTCGCGAGCAAAACAAGAAATTTGAAATGACATTGACAATTTATGACATGATATACCAAATAGATGGTGTAACGTAGCTAAGACCGACAAGACTGAGGAAGAGGTGAAATTACACTACCAAAAACTTGTGGAAGACGTAAAAAATATTTCGCCTGATCTAGTTTCCTTGCCTCATTTTTTTTTTTTTGTCTTCGACAAGTTTTTTTTAGTGTAATTTCACTTCTTTCTTAGTTTTGTCAGTGGCCTTAGTCACATTACATCATTTATATGATGTGTTCTTGTCAAAAATGGTCAGTGCATTCTCAAACGTTTTGTCTTCCTCCCTAGTCCATGTTGAATCGAATGCCATTATTACAAAACTAATGAACATTATAATTAAAATGATACAAAGGAGAGAGGAGAGATAGATGATGCTTTGGTTTTAAAAAAAAATTTATACAAGAGACAGAAATATTTGAGCCTGAAAAAATGTTCTTCTTTATTCTGTTGTGTTTTTTCTTCTAATTAGTCATAATTAATTACAACTATTTTTTTGAATTTTCTCATGAGTAATAGATTTAAATTTTAAGATAAAAAGACTATTAGTCTAGATCGAAAAATTTATCTGGAACTAATTCTTTTTAGAGATATATATTAAATAATACGAATAAGAAATTTAAATTTTAAGATTCATAATTATTAATTTTTTCTTCGAATAGAATCATAAATTGTCATACAACAAAAATTTTAGGATGCACACATTCGGCCTTACCCCTTGTAGGGAAGGTTAGCTCCAGACCAAGGGTGAGTCTGAGTAGGAGCTTCGATAATCGGACTAGTAGTCTAGTTTTTCTTCTTCTAATTCTACTCCTTCCTTTATTTTTTTCCTCAAAATTACCACAACATCTTTGTAAGGTTTTCTAATCTAGTCGAGTATTCAAACTAATATCAACAAACGAGAGAAAGAAGTTTCATCAACATAAGTAAAATCATTCATATTAATTAAATCTAACTCTAGAAATTGATTTTAAAAAAACTAACACCTCATTAGAACCAAAACCTTTACTCTCTTTTTTTCTAGAAAAAGCTCACCACTTTAGGGACATTCATGCCAATTTTTTTTTTTTGTTTTTTACCAAAATCCATATTAAAATTAAATAAAATATGAAAAATAATAAAACCAAATAATAAAAGAAAATTAAATACTGGATAAAATATATTAAGAAATGAAATAAATATACCAAACTTTTACGCAAAAGCATATAATTATAACCAAAAGTAAAAAATTAATGTTGAAATTTGAAACTTACTCCAAAAAAATTCACCAAACTTGATAGCACCAACATTAATAAAAATAAAGAGGGTTAGAGAGATTATGGTAGAAGAGAATATATATACATATACATATATATTATATATTTGAGAGAGAAGGAGATGAGGGAGTACATGAATTTGTGAGAAATATCAAAGGGGGTGGAGGGGTATTTATAGTGTAGATGAAAATAGCTATTTGGGGGACCCATAAGTTTTTTACCAAAATTTTCTTTATTGTATAATTTATAATAATTGAGTAACCATTTAAGCAATGAACTCAGAATTTCGTTACTAAGAATATTTTATCTACTTAGTTATAAGTAATATAATGCACACGAATTTGTACAATAATTCATAAAGATATCATTTATTCGAATGTAAAAGATGTTTTTGAGTAACCTTTCCGAAACATAGTACATAAATTTGCTTATTATATAAAAAAAAAGACATTAAAAAATTAAATGAAAATAATGGTATAGAAAAGAAAGACAATTTAATTAGCAATATCCTTTTCTCCATCTTCATTGCCATTTATTGCTTCTAATTGAGCTTTAGAGGCTTCACTCTGTCAATAAAATAACAAGTTCATTAATTAAAATAAATTAAATGAGAGAAAAGATAACACGATATATAGTTTTAGATTCAAAATATTTAGAGTTATTAAAATTGTAAGAAAAAAAACACAATTGATCTATATCATTTTTTTTGCAAGTTTCACACCTCATTTATATCACTATTTTTGTTATTTGAAATATCATCATCTCGAAGCTTACAAGACCAACTAGCCGTTGTTTTTTTTCCTTCTATTTGAACTATTATCATCTACTTAACTAGCTAGGTGATGATAATTCAGATAGAAGAATGTAACGATTAATAGTTAGGATATTTTACCTTTGTTCGTCGTCCTTGCTTTGTTGTCATGACCAACACTTACCTCATTATATTTAGGCAAGGGAACTAGATCAGCCTCGATGTTTTCGATGTCTTCTACAAGTTTTTGGTAATGTAGTTTTACCTCTTCTTCAGTTTTGCCTGTGGCCTTAGCTACATTACTCCATCTATCTTGTGTGTCCTTGTCAAAAATGGCCAATGCATTTTCAAACATTTTGTCTTCCTCCCTAGTCCATGTAGAATTGGTTGCCATTTCTACAAGGAAATCAAAGAAAAATTGAGATGATAAACAAGGAGTGTAGAAAGTTGATTTTTGGTTAATAAAAGGTTAACCATGACACCCTATATATAACAATTGGGAAATATGTGGCCTGAGAATATGCTCCTTTTTTGTGATGGTTTGCTACTTTTTATTTTCTTCTCTAATTAATTAGAAAATCTCTTTTTAGAGATATATATTGGCCGTGGATAAGAAAATTTAAGTTTTTAAACCTAGAAACAATAGTTCAAATTAGAAAATTTGTCTAATATTAACGGCTCTATTAGAGATTGTGACAAATATATCTTCTGGAGATATATATTGATCGTGGATAAAAAAATTTAAGTTTTAAAACTCGGAATCAATAGTTCAAATTAAAAAAATTGTCTAATATTAACGGCTCTATTAGAGAGAGATATTGATTATGAGTAAGAAATTAAATTTTAAGAATTAGAATCGATAGTCTACATCGGGAAATTTATCTCATTTTACCGTCTCTTTTGAGATATATATATCTGATGATGCATGTATTGGAGGTGTATAAAGGTTAAGGAGGTTAAGAGTGTGATTCAAATGAAGCATAAGGGAAGAGCGATCGGGCTAGATGAGATCTCGGTGGAAATATATATGGAAGAGCGTAGGCACGATAGGTACAAACTGGCTAACTGGATTATTTAGTGTCCTTTTTAAGACGATAAAAACGCCCAAAGAACAAAGGTGGAGTACACTCATTATGTTGTACAAGAACAATAGTATAGTAGCAGTCAGAAATGCAACAACTATAGAATATGAAGTTGCTATGCCATAATATGAAGATTTGAGAGACGGTGAAAGAGATGAAGGTAATGATGAAGATTATTTTTTAGAACTAATTAGGATTTGTGCTAAGACATTCAACTATAGAAGTCTTCCATCTTGTTAGGAAACTGATGGAACAGTATAGGAAGGGGACTTATACATGATGTTCATCGGGCTAGAAAAGGTATACAACAAAGTCCTGAAAAAGATTCTATGAAAGTGTTTGGAGGCTAGTGGCGTACCTGGCGTACATTAGGGCGATTAAGGACATATACAGTGTAGACAAGAGCCATGTAAGAATAGTGGAAGAAGACTCAGAGCACTAACCAATTATATTATGATGGGTTTGCACTATGGATCAGATCTTAGTCCATTTTAATTTACCTTGGTGATGGATGTTTTGACGCGAAAAATCAAAGATGACCATAGTATATTTTATTTGCAGATGACATAGTTTTAACTACAAGGCTCGTGGTAGAGTTAAAGCTAAGCTAAGGTTATGGAGACGAACCTTGAAGCCTGAATGGTTCATTTAGACTGATATGTTGTATGAAGAGAAGTATTGGTCAGTCAAGAACTCTTACGTCTAGAAAATTAAAGTTGAGGAAATAAGGCTATTGAGAGAGATATGTGGGAATACTAGAAGAGATAAAATTAAAATTATAAGATATTTGGGACAAGATAAGTGTGGCCTCGACGGAGGATAAAATACGAGACGTGAGGCTGAGATGGTTCAGAAATGTGAAAAGGAGATGCACAGATTCTCCTGTAGAGGCGTGAAAGGTTGGCTATAAATGATTTTAGGAGAGATAAATGTAGGCCAAAGAAGTATTGACTGAAGGTGATTAGATAGGACATGGTGCAACTTCAACTTATCAAGAACATGACCTTAGATACAAGATTTTTGTGGATACAGATTAGGATAAAAGGTTATTAGGTAGTTGATTGTTGTCTCACTTGTCTTCCATACTAGTCGTAGTATTAATCTTGTAGTTTCTTATTTTTCTATTTTGTTATTATTTATTATTATTTGTACTTTGATTATCAAATTATTTTATTGTAATTACTGTTCCTTTTTCAAAATGTTTTATTATGCCTTGTTTAGTATTTTGTCTTGGCTCTTCAGCCCATTTATTTTCTTGAACTAAGGGCCTATCAGAATCAACATCCCTTCCAAGGTAAGGGTAAAGTCTATGTACACTACCCTCTGCACATCTTACTTGTAGATTACACTAATATGTTATTATTGTTGATGTTTAGTATGGGTAAAAAGTTTAAGTTTTAATGCATAAAATCAACGTCTCTCTTAGATATACATTTTAAATGCATGTACGACATTTAAATTTTAAGACACGTAATCAATAGTCTAGATTCAAAGATTTATCACGTATAACTAGTGTATCTTTTTGAGATATATATTTTGCGAGCAAGTTTTCTCTAATCTCATACCAAATCAAGACCTTTCTTACTATGGAATAAAAATAAAGTGGATCTCCTTTTCAGTTACCGTCATCAATCCCTCGAGAGTATGTTCTTTTGAGCTCAGATTAATATGAATTCAACCTTTTTTTCATCGGGTCATAATCAATAGCTAATGGAGTTGAGAAAAGTATAGTCTCACCAACTTGATCTTTCGCGAGAATTGTATGTCCAATAATGCCTTAAACAGGTAAGATCTTGCTTTCCTTTGTCACAGTGTAGGACATATGTCCGACTGATTAGCCCTTTTTCTCATACTTAATGAAAGAGTCTATCGACTTCCTTAGTAGTCCCAAATTTCTCCAGTATCAACATTTTGTTTTATAGATACATATTAAGTGTAGGTAAAATACATAGGGGCAGTGCTAGAATGATCTGAGGACGATCAGACGAATACTTTTTATCGAAAAATTATATCGTGTATATAAGTAAAATGCTACTTGATAGATTATATTTGAAGTTTTGCACACCTTTGCAACAACTTGATGGGGTAGCTTAATGGCAGTGAGTGTCCAAGAAAAGCCTACATATGCACAAGTTTGATTCTCAATAGTTGATACTTCTCTTCACGTGAGTTTTCAATATTATGATCTTATGAGAATTTGGACTTCAAATACATGTATCTGGCGCATCCACATATATATATCTCAGATGCATGGGGTCAAAATTAAGTGTAATTTGTTTCAGATACACTGTATCCAAGTAAGTTCGCATGTATCTGACTCTTTCATTCGTCTCTCTTTCTCTCTCGCTCTCCTTTCTCCCTATGTATTTGTACTTCAAATATATCTAGTATCACATATACATGTATCTGTATTTGGGATACATAGATTATCTCATTGGCTCCCTTAACTCACTCACCTCTCTCCCTTTTTCAGCGTATCTAATAGTAAAAATACATATATCTAGGTTAAAAATGAGCCCAAGTATAGAAAACTCGTCCAATCCGCCCAATATTCTATGGGTTGTACTGAAGATAATTTGAATTGGATTCAAACTCAACTCATTCAAGCCTTGGCCCATGTTAAAAGAATTTTCAATTGAGCCAACTTAATCTCCAATTTCAACCCGTTTTAAGACTCTTTATTTGCATTGATGTAATGTATGTTCCTATATTGAATATATGCATTACTATCTGTTTTATATCTTTTGGAATTTATCTATCAATTTGTAACTTTTTATATTATTTTCTTGAGTTGAAATTCGAAGTGTAGTTATAAAAGTTAAATTACAATATGTTAAAATTATTGAGATTAAGCGGGTCATGACCCAACCCGATTTTTAGCCCATTTGAGCCCAAAGTAAACTTGGGCGGGTCATAACCCAACCCAATCTCGATTTCAAACCATTTTAATATCTTCAATTTTAACACAACCTGCCTATTTGATACCCCTACATCTAGGTGTATCTGACTTGAAATATGATATGAAATTATTAATTAGTGAGACAATATGTAATTATATCAAATTATAGAGAGAACTAGTAAATATGGTAGGAATATTTGTGTAATTAGGTAGTTTTTCCTTGAATTAATCCTTAATTCGTGATTCTGCTCTCTGTTCTTCATGTCTCACTGTTATTGTTACCATCTAGAGACCGATAAAAGCTTAAAACTTAAAAAGTGATTTCTTTTTATGTTAAACCCTCTTTTCTTTTTGTTTTCTTATTTACTTTTTTTTTTGCTCCATCCGTTCTCGGCATATTAAATTAAATATAAAGTCATTAAATCTAAATATTACGCATTTTGATTTGTAAAGTTTTGTTGCATATATCCATTAAAAAAAAGTCAATTACAAATATTGCTCAGTTTAATTTTAAAATTTGTGGTGCATCCATTTTCCAAAATAAATTTACTTATGGCTTGAACATTCTTTATCAAACTTTTTATTACGTTACTGAAAATACATAATCAAGAATGATTATGTCCAATATTAATATCCCTTATTAATATCCCTTTTAGGTCTTGGGCCTAACTCACACCCCAAAAGTTAACTCATGAGAGGAGGATTGTCCAAGTTCATATGGTTGTCATATCTTTACTTAGTATCAGAGCAGGACCCATCTCACCCAATGTTGGGGGCCCCTAAAATCAAAATTACCCACCCATCGGATGCTAAACACTGAGCGTGAGGTGAGATGTTAAAGAATGACAAAAGTCTCACATTTATGGTTAATAAGATGGGTGGACTCCTTATAAGGTTTGGTCAATCCTCTCCCTTTGAAATAACTTTTGGAGTTAAATTAGGTCAGGTGTCATATCTTTACAAAAATCGAAACATGTATATTCCAGTGGGTCTAAAGGGAAAATTAAAGCAAATGGTAATATCAGTTTCTACTGACTAAAACGTAAAAAGCATTTTTGTATTATTATTTTGCATTCACGAAAAAAATTTGGCCCAATTTTTCTTCCTTGTTTTTAGGGAAAAAGAAAAATTGAAAACATGATAATGCCTAGCTTTACTTTCTACATTTTTTTTTGCATGTTTCTGAAAGGTTCCATGTAAAAATATATACTTATTTCTTTTTGTGCAAGTATAGTGTGAACTCGTATTGTGGACAAAAAGGAAATTTATAAAAAAGAATTTAGTGTGTATAGTGTGAATTCTTAGGATAGACAAGAGGTGAATTTAAGATTTCTTTTTGTGCATGTATAGTGTGAATTCAAAAAAAGGACAAGCGGTCAAATTTAGGAATTCATTTTGTGCATGTATAGTGTG